CTTTGGTTTGCATTTTAAATAGATGACTCCTGATTACCACTTTAGCCCTAACTGTCAAGTCTACCAAGAGCTTTTACTCACTGCTCTCCACTCCCAATATATAATTTTCCCTACTTTCTTACACAAGCAGTTTGTTTTTCCTTACAATATCCATAATGACTTGTAATTAAACACTCTTTTATACTTCCAGCTGTTTGTTTTATCTCCACCTGGACAATAACCTCTTTGAGAACTGAGAACCATCCTTGCTTCATTCAAATCTATACCAATGACTCTATTATGATAGGCATTTATTGTTTTATAAACAATGAATTAAGGAACAAACAAAAGGCTGATCACATTTTCCTACGTATACACACTTACTACTTTTCAGACTATTTTTCAATATTTTCTGAGAGGAAGAAGTGAAAGAGCTCCCTTTCATCGCTATTTGATATCTTGATGTATCTCTGGTCAGTTCTATCTCTAAAGTAAGCAGATTCTGTTCAAAGTGCTTAAAAAAATAAAAGAAAAAGAAAACAACAAGGGATACAGCAAGACTGGTAATACAGCCCTGTAATTCATGTATCAATAAAATGTGTATGAGGGTGAGAGAGGCGTCTCTTAACCAGTTAGTTCCTTTTTTTACATTTTAGGAACCTCTTGCATGAATTTGATGTCTTCCATTAAACCAGAGTTAGACATTTGGATCACCCCTAAGGTATGTCTCAAAATTCTAGCACAGGTAATTACCATAAGCATACCCAATCTCTTCATTTTCAATGAGAGGATTTTTTCTTCTCACATCAGTAAAACAATATTCCCATTGTTTGTTGAGCAGCTCCACGCCCACACTGATCTGCCCTACAGATTTCAAAAGTGGTGACTTCATTCTTTTTATATGTTCTTTTCAAAAGAAACAAAAGCTCTCACAGGTTAAAAAAAGAAAGAAAGAAAAAATGTTAGAATATGTGTCATTTTGTGTTTGCTATAAATTATTGGATGAAAAACACAAGATAAATTTCCTTTATAAGGAAAGAGAAAAATTACAAAAGTACAGATACATTGTTTCCCAACAGGATAACTTCTTTTAAACCTTAAATATAAGGCCTCTGTCAAATGTAACAAGTCTCTCTTCTTTCATTTCACTTTTTCTTAGAAGAATTTTAATTTGTAGAAACCATATTGTACTAACTACCACCCATATTCACTAATGCAAATCATTAAAATCAGAAAGTTTATTTGTAAAACAAAGGGGGAAGTCATAGGGTGATTTTAAAGACAAAAGTGTATAGTACTGTTGCAGGCACAAAGAAAGTTATGCAAAATTGTTGGGTTGTGGCTGTTTATGAGAGAAAAAATTACGATAAGCCTTCCTGTGGCTTAGCAGTTTGTTAAACAAATCTAGAAGCTATGGAGGGCTAAGTAGGGAGACCACATCTTCCAAGGTCAACAAGACTCTCCAAGTAAAATAGCAGGACATCCAAACTTCCCCGTCAGAAGTTCTATATTGGACGTCCAGTGTTCTACAGCACAACAGCGTAACCATGGTTGACAAGTACAGTAATTGAATATCTCATAAAAGCAAGTAAAATTTTGAATGTTTGCAACAAAATAAAATGATAAATGTGTGAGGTGGTTAATACACCAACCCTGATCTGGTCATTATATATTTTTTATTGAAATGTTACATTATACCTCATAAATATATACAGTTATGTATTGATTCAAAATAAAAATGTTTAAAAATTAAAATTCAAAAATTTCTACAATAGCTCATTGAAAATTACACACAAATAGTCTAATGTATCCTCTCAAAAGAAGATGTAACAAGAGGTTCTTGAGAAAATAATGTTTCTTTCTTTTGGATATATATATATATTACTTACCTCTGTTTATTCTATAAGTGAATACCTAACCTCAAGAAAAACCTATTTTTTTAAAGAATGTCAAAGTTGCCAACTATATCTACATTTAAAATTTAAAAAGAAATTTAAGTTTTTAAAATTAGAAAAGGGCAAAAGAGCCATTTTATTTAAGAATAAAGAGGGGAAAGATTCTGCAAAGATAGTTGCATTAGTCTTTGAATTTCTGTGGATTCCTTTATAAAAACAGAGAGTGTAAGAAGGATATCAAAACTAGAAATCTGTAGGCAATATCTATCACAAAACCAGTGTCAGTAGGGAGGGATAAATCGCCAGCACCTATAGACCCACACTGCAGCAGAAAGAAGAAAACCAACACCACTAGAACTGCCACAATCATCATGAGGTACGTTCTGGTTAGTTTAGCAGGCAAGTCTGAAAACAAAAGAAGCCAAGAGAGGCCTCTATGGGTGAAACCTCACAGGTGAATATAAAAGAGCAACATGAAGGTTCTCATCTTGCTAAGGACATCTGGAGACTGGGCCCAAAGAACACTCACAACTAATAGACGGAAGCACTTTTATAGAAGAAAGCACCAACCTGAAGGAAGAGTCTAGACTGGCAGAGAGAGGTAGGCTAGGAATAAAGAAAAGAGAATACTCAGGCATAGAAGGAGGGCAACAGAGTTGAGAACGCAGAAATGACATGGATTTATCTTTCAGCTTTTTGTGAAAATAAAGGAGGAATATTACACCATTACGCTACAAAGATTATTCTAACCCACTCCTTCCTCCTAAAAGGAGACATTATCTTTCTTTAAAAGGTGTACCAGTAGAGAATTTCAAACAAGTCTCATAAAATTTTAATATATGAAATAAAGAGCAAAGTGATGTTTCCACAAGTGATGTATGTACATCAGAAAGAACTGCTCAGAATACAGATGAAAATGGAATCTTATATTTAATAAGCTAAATGAAATTTTAAGTGGAACTGGAATAACTTGGAAGCAAAAACAGAAATAATTCGCTTATCACAGAAATTAAGACTAAAAAAGAACAGCAAAGTGAAAAAACACATCTTTTTAAGATGTAAAGAAACAGAAGATACAAAGAAAACTCTAAAATTTAAAAAAATAAGAGATTAAAGAATTCCAAGAGAAAATAATAGCTACAGATAGGGAAAGAATATATAACCTTCATTCATCAGCAATCTCTAAACAAGAAAACAAAAGTAGAAGAAAATACTAAAAAAAAGTACTAAGAATTTTCATTAAAGACTTTAAACTACAGAATAAAAAAACACATTATACAGCAAGAAATATCAATGAAAATGGCTATTATGAAAAAAATTTTAATAAAAACAAAAAGACTTCAAAGGAAAAATTCTTTGGGTATCCAGACAAGGACACTACATCACTTATAAGAGAAAGAAAAATAAGATCTTCATCACATTTGATCAAAATATAAGAGGTTGCATATTTAAGATGCTCAAGGAAAAACAAAACACCCAGGTGTTTTGCATTCTTTTATTTTTAATCTAACCAAAATCACCCTAAAGATTTTGAGCCAAGGAATATTTTATTCACATGGAACTGTAAACACTGTCCCATGCATCCTCACTAGATAATCTGTAGGAGGATTAGTTTTAGACAGCTAAAATGATTTCCAGGGTTATCAACAAATGGGTTTAGGGTGAGTATTAAATACATATTTCCTTATATAACAAAGAATAAGTACTTTGAATATATTCTATTCAACCTTACCACCTTCATAAAGTGTGAGGCGTTGATTGAAACATGAGATAAATGTTTAAATTTGAAAAAAAATATTTTAGTAAAAAAGAAAAACATTGCCATTAATTCCCTTCAAAATGCTTCCCCTTGCTTCAAAAACATTTATCCTATCCTTTTTGCCACTTTCTGAAGGAGTTTTGGAAGTCCTCTTTTGGAGGTATCTTCTGTTGAGTCACGGCTGCCTGGGTGTCCTGAAAAGATTCAAGAGAACTTACCTTTGATGGTCATTTGACTTTGGAGAAGGGCCAGAAGTGACCCAGGGCCAGATCTGGTGAATATGTTGGATGAGGACACACCATAATATTTAGACAAGCCTGTCTATTGTGTGATGGCACTCGGTAGCAGCACTCATTGCATTTTTGTTCACATCTCCAAAGGACACTTATGAAAGGGGACTTCCAGAACTGATCAGAAAGTGGCAAGAATGATAGGATAATTATCCTACCATAAGTATTTTGAGTGGGTAGTGTCTTTTACTGTAATAATGTTTTTACACTTTTACAATCACCACATGTTTTGATCACACCTCCTGAATGTTTTTAATATATTCCATTTACAGATAAAGAAATTAAGCAAAGCAAGTGACATCCAAGTACAGTCTAATATCAGTGCCAGTTCTTTCCAACTGTGCTGTCATAAAACTGCATGCTAACAAAAATGAGTTTTTTTCTGCTTTTGACAAGAAATGTACATCATGTACATTACAAAGTCACTGTATGTTGACATACATTCTGATAAATTTGACATTTGAATTAAAGCAGAAAATTAAAGTGTATTAAAATTGTTTAAGCAACCTAAATACTTCAAAACTTAAAATAGTCATAAGTTATGGAAGTTTTAGTGGCAAAAATTGTACATAGTTCCTATGGATGCCCTCCCACTTATCACTGCTTCTACTTTCCTAGCCTTAATATTAGGAGTTTAACTAAGGAGTTAACTAATTAACTAATGAAAAAACGAGGTACATACACTTACTTACTGATTTTCCCATCTTTTGGCCCCATCTGTCTTTCTTTATTCCCATCCATCTTCTCAATCTCACTCTTGTTTCATATAATTAACAAAATTTGCTAAGCCCCTAGCATGTGGGCAATATGGCACTCAAGAAAAGTCTGGGCCTTTGCTTGGGAGCAAAAGCATCAAGCAGAGCTTTCTAGAGGAAGTCACACATGGCATCAGAGAAAGTCTGCAGAGGAAGTGAAAAGGGGCTGGAATTCATTTCAAGTCCTAAGTGTTAAAGACCAAAGGATCTCATCCAGGCAAAATTATAGCAATGGGATTCAATAATTTTCTTATGTTTTTTCAAGGAAGATATCTTTATCTACAAAACTTTTGGGCAATCAAGTAAAGTCTATCAAACTTACATTTAATTCATTTTTTAGCACTGTTTCAAGAAGATAACCTGCATGTTCTTTTTCTTCTTTCATATCCATAACTATGCAAATCTTTTGTGAAATTCTCTCTGAAATTAAAAAGAAAACAGTTAAAATTTTAGCATTGAAAAAAAATACAGAACAAACCCTTATTGTGCTGAAACCTAAGCTCAAATGCTTTTCACAGCCCTTGGCCACAACCAGGGAGGTTTCGGCTTTAGACCAAGTAGAGTGACCTGTACTACACACTAAGATATCCTTGAATCATTTACCACACAAAGCAATAAACCTCTGCATTAAGCATGATGTGGGTTGGTGTCCAGCCATCATACAACCAACAGAAATAAGAGGTCTTACTTTAAATTTGAAAGGAAATGAATGACTGAAAGTGACAACCATTTGGCTTAGCACTTCAATCCTTCATATATGTAAGGAGTCTCCCAAAATCTGAGAGATTCTCACCTTTCAGACCAATTCACTCTATAAGCTGAAAGGTGTACAAAAATGCCAGGCTAAGTCCAGCATTTTCCTTTGCAGTCCTCTAGATTTCCAATTCAATACAATTAAGTTCCTGTTTGGACACTTACTATAACAATACAATAGTTCAATTTTCCTCAAATTTGATAGGTTGAAATGGCTAGATATAAAAATACAAATTGTATGACACCAATATATACTCTGCAAATCATTTTCCTAAAAGACACACAGTCCCCCTCTATAGCAGGCAAATCTGAAGGGGGTTTATAGCTGCCAGTTAAGGAGCCATTCTACAGTATGTCAGAGATAAAGAAAACAAAGCTTAATTTCAAATAGGAGTCAATAGTTTGTCCAATTAACATCTGACCCAAGCTTCTTCTTGCATGAGTAAATCTATGAAATGTGTTCTATAAAACCACTGACCAAGTAATAATGATTTTTTTCAAAGGTGGTGAAACCAGTTAAAATAATATCACCAGTTAACAGATTCTTGTATTACTATCACACACTTATCAAAAAGGGAATGGAGAAAAATGAATTAAGATATATTATGTACACGTATCAACTTCCCAGAAGAATGTAAACATTATGTGCTGCAAACATGTACTAATAAAGAAAACTATCTGAAAAAAATACTCTATGTTCTGGAGGTACATGATATAATGATCCAAATCTCATATTGGCCCTACAGGAACAATATTATTATGAGTCTATCAACAAATTCTGGAAAGTTGATTTCAGAGAAATGAAGTAACTTGTCAAATTTCACAGGGTTCTGAGTAGTAGAAAAAGGATTCATATTCAAAGAAATGTTTACAGATACCCACACAACTATTCTATAGGACTAAAATGAGGACAGAAGAAATCATTTATGCCATTCTTGCATCCTTCCTCTTGTTCATTCATTTGAAAACTGAAAGAAAAATAATCAAGCATTTATATTTCCAGTGTAAACTGGATTACTGTACAACTAGATTATAAGAAACATTTTTATTAAAATATTCTGACATATGAAACTAATTGTTATATTAAAATATTATTTGCACCTCCAATTAAAAAAGGCAAGAATTAACTGCTAGTGGCTATCATCTTTAGGGTGCCATCTGATAAAAAGTTATACCATCTATGGTCTTGTTAAAAAAAAAATGTATCAAATCTGAACAAGCTCCAGAATCCAGCAGGTAATTTATAAAAGGCAAAGAAATACAGAACAACACAATACAGAACAACACAGTTAACAACTATGTATTCAAGATTTAGAAAAAGGGCACCTACTGGCCAAATGGGCTTGGTTTAAAAAAATAGAAATTGTAAGAAAAATAAAAGTTAATGAAACTAGGTTAAAGAGTCATTCATTTTAAATATTTATTAATGCCTATTAACTTTATAAAATATTAGGTATCATTGCATATGTTCATCATATCCATTCTACCATTGTCCACCATTTTACAGCCCCCATATTCCCTTCCATTTGCCTAAAAATAGTCTTCCCTCTATTTTCATGTCATCTTCTTTAGATTCTACATATTGGGGAGAAAATGCAATACTTGTCTCTCTGACTGGCTTATTTCACTTAAAATGAAGATTTCCAGTTCCAACCATTTTCCTGCAAATTGCAATATCATTCTTCTTTACAGTTGAATAATAATCCATCATTATGTAATATACCAAAATTTCTTTATCCATTCTTCTGTTGATGGGCACTAGGCTGGTTCCATATCTTGCTATTGTAAATTATGCCACAATAAACATGGGCATGAAGGTAACATGCTATAATATGCTGCAATATGGCTTTAATTCCATTGGGTATAAACCAAAGAGTGGTAAAGGTAGATTAAATGGTAGTTCTATAGTTTTTTGAGGAATCTCCATACTTCTTTCCATAAGGGCTGTATTAATTTACATTCCAATCAGCAGTGTATAAGGGTTCCTTTTTTCTGCAATTTACCAGGACTTAATGTTTTCTGTATTGATAGCCATTCTGACTATGGTAAATACAATCTCATTATTCTGATTTGTATTTCCCTAATGGTAAAAGATGTTAATTTTTTTTTCATATACTTATTGGGCATTTGTACTTTGTTAAGAAGTGTTGGCTCAGTTCTTTGGATCATTTATTGATTGGACTATTTGATTTTTTTGGTGTTGTTTTTTCTTTGGTTCCCATATTCTACTATTTTCTTCAGTTTCTTTTTTCAATCTTCTGTAATTCAGAATTTAGAAGTCTTTTACCTCCTACTTAGCTTGACCCCTGAGTATTTTTGAATTTTTTGAGGCTACTTTGAATAAAATTCTTTCCCTGATTTGTCACCCAGTGGCTTCTTTACTGGTACGTAGAAAAGCTATTAATTATTTAAATGTCTACATGTGTCCTACTATTTTGCTGAATTTATTACTTTTAAAAGTCTTTTGGTGGAATCCTTAGAGCTTTCTCAGTATCTTATCTACAAATAAGATAATGTGAATTTTTACTTTCTTGTTTCCCTTCTGTTTCCTCTTTCCTAATTGCTATAGCTAAAATATTAAGTTCTTTATTGAATAGGAGGAGTAGGAGTGGACATCATTGCATTTTCCTGATTTTGAGGAAATGTTTTCAGTTTTTCTTCATGCAGAATGATGTGGACTGTGAGTTTGTTATACATAGCCTTTGATATTTTGAGATACAATCCTTCAATACCTAGTTTCTTCAGGGCTTTTATCATGAAGGGATGTTGAATTTTGTCAAAAGTGTTTTCTGTGTCAACTGAGATGTTTATGTAAGTAGGAACCTGCCTATGAGTTTATCCTGACTAGGGGGCAAATGAAGATGAAAGACAAAATACACAAAGATAATTTGGAATGAAGGGGCTAGGGGCTCTTTGCCACAAGTGGACAAAGAGCTCTGAGCATTTGGCTCACCTCACTTTTATTCACTTAGACACTGGAGCAACCAAGGTTAGAAGATTCATCTGCCTCTTGTTATCTATAGCATGTACCCAGGTAAACATCCGGATTGCAGCTGTACTGACTCTTCACTGGAACTTGCAATGTGCTAGCATGTCTGCATGTTGTGAAAGGAGGCTTGCTGTTTTTCTCTTCTGTGCTTGCAGAGAAGGTCAATTAGGCCTCAATCCTCATTATCTGGTCTGCAATGTAATTTTTATCTTTGATTTAATTTATGTAGTGTATTACATTTACTGACCTGAATATACTGAAATAGTCTTATAACCCTGAAATAAAAGCAATTCGATCATGATGCATGATATTTTAAGGTATTGTTGAATTTAATTTGCAAGTATTTTATTAAGGATTTTTGCATCTATGTTTATCAGGGATATTGGCCTATAGACTTGTAATTGTTGTTGCCCTTATCCATTGTTGGTATCAGGGTAATGTTGGCCTTTTGGAATGAGTTTGGAAACATCCCTTCCTTTTCTATTTCATGTGATAGTATGAGAGCCTTTAGCAGTAAACCCATTTGTGGGAGACTTTTTATTATTGCTTCACTCTCATTATTTCTTATTGATCTGTTCAAGTTTCATAGGTCATTCTGTCCAGAAATTTATCTATTTCTTTTCTATTTTCCAAATTACTAGAATATAGGTTTCAAAAAGTCACTGATGAGTTGAGCCACTGAGGAGCTGAGCCTCGGGGGCTGCCAGCAGCACTGACCCTCAGGCTTCCCTGGGCCTCCCAGGAGCCAAGCCTCCAAGGAACCCAGCCTTGAGGGCACCAGCAGCACCACCCAGGCCTCAAGCCCACCACCCCCGCACTCCCTCTGGCCACAGGGCACCAGTGCAGGGGGTCATAAAGGCCATTGTTCTGACCTCCAGAAGATACAACAGAAGTGAACAACAGAGAGAGGGCCTCTCTGAGCCTCCTTGATGAAAATTGAACCCTACTGGGAAAGTGAAGAAAATCTCTGCAATAAAGGCACACCAGACCACTGTAGTTGGTAAATTGGAGGGATCATCACCTCCCATCAGAACCTGGACTATCTTCAGGGGAAAGGCAGCTGGAACCTGCAATAGAACCTTACACAATTCAATACAGCAGGAGGTCAGAGATCTCAACTTGGGCCTTCCAGTCAGAAATCAGCCTGAATCTCAGTGGACTGCTGCTGGTTTGCTGAGACTCAGTGACTTGAATCTGCTCATTCCTGCCCATGCTGTCTATTGTGACAGCAGAGACATACCTGAAGGAGTAGTTTTATTTTTTTAATTTTTTTTTCAAAGTTAGTTTTTTCTCATATTTTTAGTTTTTATTTTTTTCAAATTTATCTTTTCTGTTTTTTTTTCTTTTCTTCCTCTCTCACTCACTGTCTCACTTTCTCACTCACTTGCTCTCCCACTTTGTGCTGCATCTCTATCCATTTTTGTTCCTATTCCTGTCCTAAGTTGGACTTCTTTTTTCTTTCTTTTTCTTTTCTTCTCTCTTTTTCCTTCCCTTGATTGTCATTAGTTTTATAGGAAAGTAAATACAGTTTCTAGCTTCCCTATTGATGTGAGTATGCTCTGTTCTTGTCTTTCTTCTTTTGTTCTGTCTTTTTCTCTCATCTTCAACAGTTTCTCAAAGTTTGCCCGATCTTCCTGTGCTGTGTCCTCTGGCATCAATTCTACCTTACTTTATCCTT